GTGTCCGTCAGTAGCTGTCCTCAGTGTCCGTCAGTAGCTGTCCTCAGTGTCCGTCAGTAGCTGTCCTCAGTGTCCGTCAGTAGCTGTCCTCAGTGTCCGTGAGAACCAAACACCCGGATACAGAACCTCGGCTGCACAAACGGTGGCGCTTGGTTTTAATGCCGAGACCTCTGGGGGGGCGGGGACAGACTTACTGATGTGTCCGTATGTAAATGAGGGGGAGGTCCTAACCTCAGTCTGGAGCGGGATTGGTCAACTGAGCGATCCAGACTGAAGCAATCTGTTCCACGTGATCTTCCTGCAGCGCAGTCCAAACAGGCGAAGACAGAGTAATGGATGTGAACCGTCATCACTCCTGTGACCAATCCTGCATGAGACTGAGGTTAGGACCGCCTCCCTCATTAACATAGACACAGAAACAAATACATTAATGTTATAATTCATCAGAAGTACTTTATTAATCCCTGTAGGGAAATTGAAATGTATACGTTTTATTTATCAATGTTTTAATTCATACTTTTAATTATGAATGTATTAATTCATACATTTATTTATGTATTGATTTATACTTGAGTCAGTTTTGTCCTCCATAGGCTCTGGGATGTTTCCAGTCAGTTTGGTCTGAATTCGTTATTTGATGATATAAAACACAGACGTGATGACGGCAGGAAGCAGTTTAGCTTCTGAGAGGGAGGGAAGCGTCCTCCGTCTTTATTTAGTCTTTGTTCCACAGAAATCACCTGATTTCTGTGGAACCTGTTTCATGATTGACACTTCAAGTCCTGTTCCTCCAGAACACACACCACATACATGGTTAAAAACATAAAACATGTTTAATGACTTATTCAAAGGGAATTCAGCAGAAAATTATATACAGATGTACATTTAAATGCCACAGAGGCAGCAGATTCATTCGTCATCTCAGTCTTCATCCTCCTCATCGTCAGCAGGCAGCGGCCTGGACCTGCACACAAAACACACGCAGTCACACTTGAGCTCGTCTTTATAGAACATGGTCACAGGAGTCAGCTCTGGTAGAGTCATTCATTCCAGATGCACAGTTACTTCGCCTCATCTTTTTAAAGGAGACACATTCTGATCATCTTCATGCTGTGAAATGTTTTATGTCCTCCGACTGTCCATCGCTGCAGCTCCTCTTTTCAACAAACCCACGGTTGTGTTTAAATAATAATCAGGACGAGAGTCAGACTGTGGGAATTATGCAAATGTGTCAGACGGGACTCAATCACCTGTTTTCTACAAACACGTTAAGTATCATTAATAACATGCCTGAGACATGACCATAAACTACACAAGGACATTAAACATCAGAGCCCTGCACTTGGTTTAATGAGCTTCAGTCTAACATGACACCGAAGCACAACATCCTCCAGAAGAAACTGTGAAAAGGAAACAGCTCGACGTGCACACATACAAAAAGACCTTCAGTGGTTCCACAGGAGAAAAGGAGTCAACACAAAGCTCTGGAGATACAAACCACGTGAACTGATCCTGAGCTGAAACCATTCTTTAGTACTGATGGTAGGATTCAGGTGTTACTGCTAATGACATCAACTCATACACATTAAAGAGCATTACATTTCTGAATCGTGTTTCCATCAGATCCTCCAGTTTATTCATCAGGTGTGAAGGAATTCAAACTCCAGTGTTTATATCTGAGGGCAAATTCAACCAACGGTTCCAGGACCAGACCTCTGAGCTACAACGAGACCTGATAAGACACATACTTCCTGTTGGCCTTTGACACCCCGCTGCCTCCGGCCTCCTCGTCGTCCTCGATCTCTTGGGGTCTCTGGTTCTCCTTCTCTGGTTTCCGGGGGGGGCCACCAAAGAAGTCACCGATGCCCTTCTGCCAGGTCGGAGTGGGGCGAGGACACACTGGGTTCCCACCGGCATATTTGCCCTTAGCTTTGAATTAAAGAAGACGACCATCAGCTCAGCTGTGTTGTTTGGATGTGGACAGACTGGATGTGGACAGACTGGATGTGGACAGACTGAATGTGGACAGACTGAATGTGGACAGACTGAATGTGGACAGACTGGGTGTGGACACACTGACCTGGTGTGGACGCCTGGCTGCTGCAGGACGACGAGTTGGTGGAACTGGAGCCCAGAGACTTCCTCGGAGCTGAAGCTGCAACAGCTGAAAACAAGAGGAACATGTGAGGAACAGACACCAGAGAGAGTCCACTGGGAAACATGAGCGACTTATTATGAATATGATTCTGTATGATGGGGGGGCAGATATAACGTCACCAGCAGGAGCACTTCTAAACTCCTACAGCAAGATTGTAAATTTCACTTCTTATTAAATTGAGGGGTGAATGGTGGATCTGTGTAGAGCCGAAGGTTCCACAGCACCATGTAGATGAATTAAAAACCGTTCATCGCTTCCTGTCGCACATTTACTTTCAACGAGAAGCGGAATAATATTCAATCATGTAATTTCTCAATGAGGTTTCGTGCAACGTCCGCTAGAAGCCGCAATGTGGCGCTAAAAACTGGCGCCAGCGCAGAGAAGTTAAGTTTCAGACGAAGTTGAGTGAAATGAATTCATCACACGATGAAAACACAAAGAACCAGTTTGACTCCGACTCCAGAGCAACAAAGAGAGGAGCGGCTCCTGTTGGCGGGAGACTGATGCTCTCTAAGTGAAACACGGGGACGGATCCAGAAGTTTCCATTAATGTCGGACATGAGTCACTGTACCTTTCCTGTAGGAGCCGGGGACACTGTCCGCTTTAGTCCGCACCATGTTCCCTCCGAGCGGAGACAGACACCGAGTAAACAGAGGACAGAGGAGAGACAGCTCAGGGACCAGAGACAAACCGAGCGGACAACAGAACTAACAGGAAGTGAGAGGAGCACACTCCCGCGCTGGTTTAAAAAGCTCAGCGGGGGCGGGAGATTTCTTCTTCTGGTGCTTCGCTTCTGGTAGACGAGAAGAAGCGATGGTAAAACACTGCCACGCCCTGGTAGTCTGGAAGAACTACAGCATGGGAGACGGATGGATGAAGGATTCATAAACATTTAAATAATTAAGTATAAAATGACTGAAGTAGAATCATTTTATAAAAGTAACAGAGTACTGAAACTAAATATAAATACAGATTAAAAAAAGTTGTGCCTTAGTTCAACACTGAAAACATAAAAATACATGTAAACACATAAAAATACATGTAAACACATCAAAACATGAACAAAATGTGAACACACAATAACACACATCAAGCAGAGCTGAAATGATCAGTGTATATTGATCAATGTGTAGAAATCAATAAGAATAATTAAAGATAAAGAGTCAGTGTTTTATTTTCATCTTTTTTATTCTTAAGACAAAATGTTTGTTCTTAATAAAAACATGATAGAAACATGAACCGACGACGATACGAACTCGTGTTCCTCTTCAGGTGAGAACCAGTGAACCTGTCATCAGCTCGGTTGTCTGTGGAATTCTATTTCTATGTTTTCATCACAATAGCAGATCTTGAACGTACAGATTCAAATATTGATGTGTATCAGTTCACTTCAAGGATTCAGCGTCTCTCATCTGTGACGCTGCCTCGTCCTCAGCAGCAGGAGGCACTGTGTCAGCCGCAGTCATGTGACCCCATGGGGGTTTTTTGGGGGGG